ATTTTCTAGATGGATTTTACTAAGAAAAACTAATAAAAATGACTTTAAAACTTTGCATTATAATAAAAAACCACCTAATAATTATATATAAAAAGCATTGGCCCAACGCTTCCCACCAATAACCCCCCCCCCCCCAAAACCAAACCAAAAACCTCTCTTCCTCGTCATTGCAGTGATCAAGTCTTTGATAAAAATCAAGGATGATTAGTAAAGATGATACTCCTCACCACAAATGATGGTTAAATATCTGCATCAACCTCTAGGAAATTGGCTTGCCTAAGATATTACAGGATACAACCTTCCTCTGTAGGCAAACTTTTGTTCCAACATCATACGCGCTTGACCATCCAATATCCTTCAACAATACTTGGAATTAACTTTAATCTTGCATTGCAAAACATGTCACTTCCATTCACAAACTTAGCCTTTGACAAAGCAAGATAACACAAACACACGTCTAGTACTATGATCTGCTAAGGTGTATTGTCATGTGTATAATAAATAATATATATATATATATATATATATATATATATATATATATATAAGTGATATATGTAAAATTCACTCGTACCTACTTAAGGCAAAAGAAATAATATACGTATATACACAATGCAGTACATGTTAAGTTTCATAAACAGTGTAGTACCATTAAGTTTCATAAACAGTGTAGTAAGTTTCATAAACAATGTAGTACCGTTAAGGTTCATAAACAGTATAGTATCGTTAAGTTTTATAAACAGTGTAGTATCATTAAGTTTCATAAACAGTGTAGTAAGTTTCATTAATAATATGTACGTTTTTTTCTAAATTATTTTTTTAATATTAAAATTATGTCTTTTTCGTTAAAATTTAAATTCTTTTGTTATTTTTATTAAAAAAATTTTTAAAAAATTAAGTATTTTTCATTAAATAAAGTTATATGATGGTTTTTTGTTAAAATAAATTTAGCCCAAACCCTTTTCATGAAAGTTCTCATTTTACTATGCAACTTATTTTTGGCAACAATATATTTACATGGAGTTGAATGATTTGGGCTAATCCACGCGACGAGTCAGCTGCAATAATTCAATGTCGAACTCACTATTCACGCCAATCTAAACCTAAACCTAATGGCAATGACGAGTGACCTGCGAGCCTATATTACATTTATTTTACCGACTAAAATTTAATACATGAAAGAACAAAAAAAGAAAACCCTAATTAATTGTTCATAAGAGGATAAATTTGTGAACCATTTGAGGAAGGAAATATTAAATGAAGTGTTAGAGAATCAGAAAACCAAATTAAATTGAAAGCATCGTTGCATTGAGATTAGTTAATGAATGAAACGGCAGCATCAGTAGCAGCTAGCTTTAGCCGGAGGAGCCTCACACTAGTACAAAAACATGTTTGCGCGACGAAAACTTGCGCGACGCATTAAATTACGTCGCGCAAAGACGTTTTGCGCGACGTACGTACCCCTACGTCGCGCAAAGCCGTTTTGCGCGACGTTACTTTGCGCGACGAAGAACTACGTCGCCCAAAACGGCTTTGCGCGACGTACGTACACCTACGTCGTGCAAAACGGCTTTGCGCGACGTAGTCCGTCGTCGCGCAAACTTTTGGCGCCAAACCCTTAGAATTTACCGCTTTTTCCCACCTTTGCGCGACGCATGCCCACCTACGTCGCGCAAAGTTGTTTTGCGCGACGTAGGTGGACATGCGTCGCGCAAAGTCACCAACTTTTTTTTCTTTTCATTTGATCAGTTTGGGAGGCAGAAACTGCATACCCAGTTGCAGCAGCTACCTCCATCGCCCATCTCTCTCTTCAAAATCGTCTACCAGATCAGGTTTGAAGTTTGAATTACTAGGAATAGCCATAATGCCTAAATCTGTAATCGTTAGAAACAATGTTATTATTTTGTATGTCTTGCTCTCCCCAATTCCCACATTAGTTAACACAACTAGTTTTTATTTTGGATCTATGAATAACAACAAAGGAATTTCGTAATTCTAATCATCAACAAGATCTCCCCAGTCCAAATAATTGCTAGAAAAGGGACAACTTTTTGAACTCTCCAGCAACCAAAGCCCCGAAGTAACAACCAAAATTTGATTTTCTCCCAAAGTTCCTCCACTCCACACCTTCACTTTGCTCAAATATCCGCCTTCCATCTGAATTACTACTAACACCATGCACTGCAGGAGACCATTTCTTTCTTACCCTTACCTTTGTTTCTCAGGGAGCAAAGAAACATAACTCCGACCTAATTTACATTGTCAACCCCATACAATCTCCACCACATAGTTGTAAACATATGATCCACACTCCTTTCGCCCTCTTTGTTGCACAAAATGCATCAGTGAGGTGAAACACACACAAAAGGCAATTTCCTGGATCATATCACATGTATCCTCCAGTGAGCCAGTCCAAGCCAAAACTTTTACTTTTGGTGGAACTCTTGCTTTCAAATCTGCCCAAAAGGTTGGATGGAGTCCTGGATTAGCAGCTTTGCTTTGATTTGAGAATCTAATATACGACTTACATTAGAACTCCCTTCAAGTATCAATTTTCCATTTCTTGCATCAACGTTATATTATAATGCAATATACACACACACATTCTGATACCAGTAACATTGCAGAGATCTCCTCCATCTAAATTTCATTCAGATTTCTTAACCCGAAATCCGAACCATTGGCTCGTTGAAACTAATTTCGTATAATGCGTTTCCCATCAAATTCAATGGTATATATATTTAGTAAGTACATTTTAATTTATTTATTTTGTACTCATAAGCAAAAGCAAAAAAAAAAAAAAAAAAAAAAAAAAACCTTTGCGCGACGTAGGTACACATGCGTCGCGCAAAATAGCTTTGCGCGACGCAGGTGAACCTACGTCGCGCAAAGTTTTTTTTTTTTTTTGGGGGTTCTTGTATTGCCTTTTTCTTTTGTGGTATCCACTTGTGTAAATGTTTTAAATTGATGATCAAATTAGTTTATTGTATTCATATAGGATTAAGGAGTGTAGCTATAAAAAATCATCAAAATCAGAGTTAAAACTACCGTTAAATTGTGCTTTTTCATTTATAACCGTTGAAAAGTTTTGTCCCGTTACTTGATCTCTGAATGTTTGTTTTTTTGCGATTTTTGGCGGACGCAATCTCGAAGCATGTACAAAATAAGTTTGACGGTTGGATCGTTAAAACTAGTTTCGTACAATGCGTATCCCATTAAAACGATAGATTCCCTAACACTTAGAGTTTATTTATACTATCATTAAGTTTAACATAACATTTTGTGGTATCTGTTTGTGTAAATATTTTAAATTGAGGATCGAATCGGTTCGTTGTATTCATATAGGCTCAAGGAGTGTAGCTCTAAAAAGTCATCAAAATCGGAGTTAAAACTACCGTTAAATCATGCTTTTTTGTTTATAACCGTCGAAAAGGTTTGTCCCGTTACTTGATATCTGAATGTTTTTTTTTCTCAATTTTTGGCGTATGCGATCTCAGAATATATACAAACAAGTTTGATGGTTGGATCGTTGAAATTAGTTTCGTACAATGCGTATTTCATCAAAACGATAGATTCCCTAACACTTGGAGTTTATTTATACTATCATTAAGTTTAACATAACATTTTGTGGTATCCGCTTGTGTAAATATTTTAAATTGAGGATCGAATCGGTTCGTTGTATTCATATAGGGTCAAGGAATGTAGCTCTAAAAAATCATCAAAATCGGAGTTAAAACTACCGTTAAATCGTGCTTTTTTGTTTATAACCGTCGAAAAGGTTTGTCCCGTTACTTAATATCTGAATGTTTGTTTTTCTCAATTTTTGGCGTATGCGATATCGGAATATATACAAACAAGTTTGATGGTTGGATCGTTGAAATTAGTTTCGTACAATGCGTATCTCATTAAAACGATAGATTCCCTAACACTTAGAGTTTATTTATACTATCATTAAGTTTACACATAACATTTTGTGGTATCCGCTTGTGTAAATATTTTAAATTGAGGATCGAATCGGTTCGTTGTATTCATATAGGCTCAAGGAGTGTAGCTCTAAAAAATCATCAAAATCGGAGTTAAAATAACCGTTAAATCGTGTTTTTCGTTTATAACCGTCGAAATGTTTTGTCTCGTTACTTGATCTCTGGATGTTTGTTTTTTTCCAGGTTTTGGCGTATACGATCTTGGAATATATACAAACAAGTTTGATGGTTGGATCGTTGAAATTAGTTTCGTAGAATGCGTATTTCATCAAAACGATATATTTCCTAACACTTGGAGTTTATTTATACTATCATTAAGTTTAACATAACATTTTGTGGTATCCGCTTGTGTAAATATTTTAAATTGACGATCGAATTGGTTCGTTGTATTCATATAGGCTAAAGGAGTATAGTTGGAAAAACTCAACAAATTGGAGTTAAAATAACCGTTAAATCGTGATTTTTCGTTTATAACCGTCAAAAGGTTTTGTCATGTTACTTGATATTTGGATGTCTTTTTTTCCAATTTTTGGCGTATGCGATATCGGAATATATACAAACAATTTTGACGGTTGGATTGTTGAAATTAGTTTCGTACAATGCGTATTCCATCAAGTTCAAAGGTATATATATTTATTAAGTAAATTTTCGGTAAAATTTATATTTGAAAAAAAAAAAAAAAATCTTGCGCGACGTCGAAATGTATACCTGCGTCGAGCTATTTGTCATTATTTTGGCGGGGCAATTTTGAAAAATAGGCGCTTTTTTTTAAAAAAAAATTCCCAAATTTTCCAAACCAAAAGCCTTCCACTCTCTCATCTCTCTCACTCGATCTCTCTTCCCAAACCAAAAGCCTTTCGGTCTCTCATCTCTCTCACTCCAGCCGACTATCCTCCTCAACCAATTCCACCCCAGTACCAGAATCACTCTCAGACTCTCAGTCCCTCGACTCCCTTCCCTCGACTCTCCAACTCTGAATCGTCCTCCTCCTCGTAGTGCTCACCAGCCATCACCCCATCACCCCGCCGTCGATTCTCTCCTCTTCGACAACACCCCCGCTGTCATCCATCTAAAATTTAGGTAATTTTGATTTAAGGTTTTGTTATTAATGTGAATTTCTGGTGTAGGGATTTTAGGGTTTTTAAATTAGAATTTGTAGATTGATGATTGTTCTGTTGCCACCATTTAGGGTTTTCCTAAAATTTGAATTGCATTTGTAGATTGATGATTGATGGCTGGTGTTATGTATGTTTATAGATGATTGGTTGAAATTTCATGCGTTCATTTGAGTTATAAGTTGTATGAATCTAAGAAATATTTAAGGTCAAAACTAATGAACCTGACTTAGTAGCCGTAAATCATAGTTAACTACATCCTATGACTTTTGAACCGAGTTGAGATTTCCATAACCAAAGGGTGGGTTTGGTATTCCGTTTTTCTTTGGCTTCGGTTCGATTTTTTTGGGTTTTCGATTTTTCAAACCTATTCCTACTAGCCAATGTGTATCATCTGTAGTATCACATTATCTTTCATTAAATATGGTTAATGTTAATGCGTTTGTGCAGGGAATTGGGTTTGCTGCTCATTAGGAATTGGTTTTAGTGAATTGGGTTTTATTTGGTTTTGTGCAGGGAATTGGGTTTATCACATAATCTTTTCTTGAGAAAAGCTGCTAGTGAAGTTCAGCTGTTTTCACAGAATTTATTTGATAAGTTCTGATAGTTATTGCTTTTATCTGTATGTTGCTTTGGTGTTCAGATATCCCCAACATTAGCTCCAGTTGATGCGTTGGAGAGGTATACTCAGATATCTAGTCATTCTCTTCATAGAACAAGCAAACCAGGAATTTTATCGATTGATATTCAGTCTAACAAGGTATGAGATTGTGTTTACCTCTGCTATTATATCATTTTGTTTAAGCATCACTTCCATATGGGTATTTGACTCCAGTGAAAGACTCTTAGGTTCGTACTGGATGTTGCATGATTTTTGCTCTTCAATACTGCCTTTGTACTATTAGAAGTGCATTTTGATCTTTAATGTTCATATATCTACAGTTTTAGGTTTAGGGATGATCCTAAACCAAATGTCTTGAAATGAAGAAAACGAATTTAGTAGGAACAAATCTAGAATTTATTGAGCCTTGAAGCTCTCTTGTTTTAGTGTTCTTTTGCGTAATGGTATTTGATGAGAATTTAGATCTTTTGCATGCTTTTCCTACCTTAATCCACACTTTACACTGATCTTTTGTCTTCATGGTATATACGGGATTGTGGATTAAGGACAAAGTCATAAATCCTTGTGTGTCTGTCCTGTGTATTTTATGTCATTGAACTCAGTTATGTTTCCATTTTGCTGATCAAGTATTACTTTTTGGCTTTATTCTCGCAGAATCTCATTGCAACTGGAGGGGTTGATACAAATGCTGTAATCTTCATTACTATTTTATCTTCTCTATTTACTGGAGTTGTCATTAGCTTTGTTTGTCATTCATTATTAACTTGGCCACCGCTAAACTCTGCCTACCTCACAGTTACAAGTTTAACCTTGGGACTTAAGTGGCGCGCTGTGTGGCCCGAGCACAGTGATAAGTGAGCAAGGGTCGCTGTATCTCCATCGGCACCCGGATGCAGTGTTAAATGAGCAAGGGGGCCATAGAAACTTCTTTTCGAACGACTCCACTCAAAGTTGTTTGGGAGCATATGCTCCTATCAACTTTACCCGGGACACACAAAAGAAGTACTTTGATCCTATTAGACGGGGGAGGGTGAAGAAGCTAGGACAGAAGGGTAGAGTTCAAGAGAGCAAAATGCGTTTAGGAACGTGGAATATAGGAACCTTAACGGGAAAATCTATGGAAGTAGTGGAAGTTATGGTGAGGAGAAGGATAAATATTATGTGCCTACAAGAAACTAAGTGGGTTGGTAGTAAGGCAAAGGATCTAGAAAACTCAGGGTTTAAACTTTGGTATTCGGGCACAAATAGAACGAGAAACGGTGTTGGCATCATCGTGGACAAGACCTTGGTACAAGATGTTGTAGATGTCAAGAGGGTAGGAGATAGAATCATGGCAATCAAGATTGTAATAGGACAAGAACTTATCAATGTGATTAGTGCGTACGCACCTCAAGTAGGGTTGGATACGAGTTCGAAGGAGAAATTTTTGGGAAGATCTTGGAGACTTGGTGCAAGGAATTGCTCAGACGGAGAAGTTATTTATAGGAGGAGATTTAAATGGACACGTGGGCAGGGAGACAGGCAACTATGGAGGTTTTCATGGTGGCCATGGTTTTGGGGAGAGAAACGAGGATGGGGAAGCTATCTTGGATTTTGCAATGGCATATGATCTCTTCTTAGCCAACACCTTCTTTAAGAAGAGAGAAGAACATGTGATCACCTACAAGAGTGGGTCGTCAAAAAACACAAATAGATTTTCTTCTAATGAGGAAAGGGGATCGTATAACTTGTAAGGATTGCAAAGTTATACCAGGAGAGAGCGTGGCTAATCAACATCGCTTGTTGGTGATGGATGTACATATCAAAAGAGTAAGACAAAAGAACAAGACTTGGAAGTGCCCAAGAACTAGATGGTGGAATCTAAAAGAAGAAAAACAAGTCATTTTCAAAGAGAAGGTAATCACCCAATGTGTGTGGGATAGAGAGGGGGAAGCTAGCCAAATGTGGGATTCCATGGCTAGTTGTATCCGAAAAGTAGCAAAAAGAGGTATTAGGAGAGTCCAAGGGCTTTGCCCCACACCAAAAGGAATCTTGGTGGTGGAATGAGGAGGTACAAACAAAGGTGAAGGCTAAGAAGGAATGTTGTAAAGCCTTATACAAGGAGAGGACCGATGAAAATGGTGAAAGGTATAGAAAAGCGAAGCAAGAGGCGAAGAAAGCTGTCAGAGAAGCTAAGTTAGCGGCTTACGACGATATGTATAAACGACTAGATACCAAAGAAGGAGAGTTGGATATCTATAAACTATCTAGAGCAAGGGAAAAGAAGACAAGGGACCTAAACCAAGTGAGGTGCATCAAGGATGAGGATGGAAAGGTTCTTGCTACAGAGAACGCGGTTAAAGACAGATGGAGAGGTTATTTTCATAATCTTTTCAATGAAGGACATGAAATGAGTGCTTCTTTAGGGGAGTTGAGTAACTCAGAAGAGTGTAGAAACTACTCTTTTTTATCGTCGAATCCGGAAGGAAGAAGTGGTTGTAGCTTTGAAGAAGATGAAGCATAAAAAAGCAATAGGCCCAGACGATATACCAATCGAAGTGTGGAAACTTTTGGGAGAGACAGGTATAACATGGCTCACTGACCTTTTCAATAGGATTTTGAAAACGAAGAAAGATGCCAAATGAGTGGCGAACGAGCACTTTGGTGCCTATCTACAAGAATAAGGGCGACGTACAAAATTGCATGAACTATAGGGGTATTAAGCTAATGAGTCATACAATGAAGCTCTGGGAGAGAGTCATTGAGCATAGATTGAGGCAAGAGACACGGGTTTCGGACAACCAATTCGGGTTCATGCCAGGGCGCTCAACCATGGAGGCAATCTATCTCTTACGAAGATTGATGGAAAGATATAGAGATGGGAAAAAGGATTTACACATGGTCTTTATAGATTTGGAAAAAGCGTATGATAGGGTCCCAAGAGACATTCTTTGGAGGATTTTAGAGAAGAAAGGAGTACGAGTAGCATATATCCAAGCTATAAAGGATATGTATGAAGGAGCAAAGACTGCCGTAAGAACTCATGAAGGACAAACCGAAAGCTTTCCCATAACTGTAGGATTACATCAAGGCTCATCCTTAAGTCCTTACCTTTTTGCGTTGGTAATGGATGAGTTAACAAGACATATTCAAGATGATATTCCTTGGTGTATGCTTTTCGCAGACGATATAGTGTTGATAGATGAAACTCAGGAAGGGGTAAATGCAAAGCTTAACCTTTGGAGAGAAGTGTTGGAATCTAAAGGTCTTCGCCTAAGCCGATCAAAGACAGAATATATGGAGTGCAAGTTCAGTGCAAATGGAGGCCAAAACGAGTTAGGGGTGAGAATCGGAGATCAAGAAATACCAAAGAGCGACCGTTTTCGTTACCTAGGATCTATCTTGCAAAAGAACGGAGAATTAGATGGAGATCTCAACCATAGAATACAAGCTGGATGGATGAAGTGGAAGAGTGCATCCGGCGTGTTATGTGACCGCCGTATGCCACTGAAGCTTAAGGGAAAATTTTATAGGACGGCAATAAGGCCGGCGATGCTGTATGGCACAGAATGTTGGGCGGTGAAACATCAACACGTACACAAAATGGGTGTAGCGGAGATGAGGATGCTTCGTTGGATGTGTGGGCACACAAGAAAGGATAAGATTAGGAATGAGGATATCCGGGGTAAAGTAGGAGTAGCCGAAATTGAAGGAAAGATGAGAGAAAATCGGTTACGGTGGTTTGGACATGTGCAAAGAAGGCCTACTGACGCTCCGATTAGAAGATGCGACGATGTGACAGAGGTTCAGGGCCGAAGGGGTAGAGGAAGACCTAGGAAAACTTTGGAAGAGACTCTAAGAAAAGACTTAGAGTACTTGGATCTAACGAAGGACATGACACAGGATCGAGCACAATGGCGTTCTAAGATTCATATAGCCGATCCCACTCAGTGACTTGGATTTTCCAAGTCTCCAACCGAGAAGTTTTCCTCACTCGGAAAAATTAAGGGAACACTACCCCAACCTACATGCTCCACTCAGAAAGCTTCAACATACAAGCTTCAACAAAAGAAAATTCAAAGAACTTAGCGAAGAAGGCTTTGGTGTATTTAACACAATACGTTGAAATGAAGGAAAGCTTATTTATTGATATCCCCGATAAGCTACAAATATGTACATATACATGAGTCAAAATAAACACACAAGAGGGAGCCTTCACAAAGGTTGCTTAGGAGAAGTCTCAGCAGTCGGTAGAGCCCCAGAAAGAGAAGGCACCGGAGGGGGATCATTTGGAGCCTCAGTACTGGACAGAACCCTAGAAGGAGGAGGCATCAGAGGTTGATCATTTGGAGCTTCATTACGCGGTACAGCCCCAGAAGACGAAGGCAATAAATGCCTTTGGAACAAACCTACAAATCTCTGATGATCAAGTAAAACCTGACCATCAGTTTCCTTCATCTGGTCAAGCTTCCTCTTCATGTTTGTAGCATAGTCATGTGCGAGCCGGTGCAACTGTTTATTCTCATGCTTGAGCCCTCTAATCTCCTGTTTGAGACTCATCACTTCAGCCGCCAATGATTCAACTTGGCGGGTTCGAGCAAATAGGCGTTGGGCCATATTAGACACAGAACCTGCACACTGAACACTGAGAGCCAGCGAATCCTTAACAGCTAACTCATCAGACCGTTTGGAAAGTAGTCTGTTATCTTTGGGAGTGAGAAGGTTCCTGGCCACCACCGCAGCGGTCATATCATTCTTCATCACGGAATCCCCAACGGTAAGAGGACCAGTAGGGGAGACGAAGGATGGGCGCCATATGTTGTCTGGAGAAGGCGGGGCTGCCTCTTCAACAAGGTTCAAGTCAAAACGACGGTCGGAGGGGCCAGACATTTTCAAAGGTGTTGAAGAGAGAAGAGGTCGGACAAATCAAGATCTTAGAAGTGCAAGAATGAAGCTTCTACTGGTGGAGATTCAAGTGTGCTTTGGAACTTAATGTCAGCCCTTATAAAAATCTGCACTCGACGGAGCTTCAGAAATCGAAGAGGCGCCTGCTCAGAAATCGAAGAGGCGTTTGCTTTCTCAAAAGCTGGGCTGCTTAGAGATCACGAGGGTTGATCTCAGAAATCTAAGAGGCGTTTGCTTTCTCAAAAGTTGGGCTGCTCAAAGACCACGAAGGCTGGTCTCAGAAATTGAAGAGGCGCTCGCTTTCTCAAAAGCTGGGCTCCCCAGAGACCACGAGGGCCGATCTCAGAAATCGAAGAGGCACCTACTTTTTCCAGCCTTGTCAGCACCTGTCACGCGCACACACTCAGCTTTGCGGAAATTATGGGCATTCTGTCGAAGACTTCTGGGGAAGTAGAAAACACATGAATCTTACTGTTCAATCACCCACTTCCCACACGCAACAATAGCTCATGGGTACCACAGAAAACTTTGCCAAAGTTCTCTGCCAAAGTCGAGCACGTGAAGCTTGCAGCTCCCACTACATCGCTCTGACCAAGAAGGGTAAAAGAATAGCAAAGAAACAGCACTAACAAAGTTTAGACCCATAAATTTTGAAGGTCTAGCTACCATATTATTACCCACAAGGGTAAAGGAACAGTACCACTGCTGGATAATTGGACAGTCCCTGTGTGTCAACCTCTGTGCTTCGTGGCAAGGTAGACTAGCAAACATGCCCAACCTTTACTCACATCGAAGAGGCACCGTCCTCCGAATCTCGAGAGCCAGACTCCCAACATGACTACTTTCTTAAAAATCGAAGAGAGGGTAAAGGAACAGTACCATTGCTGGATAATTGGAAAGTCCCTGTGTGTCAACCTCTGTGCTTCGTGGCAAGGTAGACTAGCAAACATGCCCAACCTTTACTCACATTCGAGAAAACACTCCCAACAAGATTGCTTGCTCCAAAATCGAAGAGGCACCGCCCTCCGAATCTCGAGAGCCAGACTCCCAACATGATTACTTTCTAAAAAATCGAAGAGACACTGCTCCCCGAATCTTCGAGAGCCAGACCCCCAGCGTGACTGCTTTCTCTCAAAAATCGATGAGGCATCGTTCTTCGAATCAATCGAAGAGGCGCTCGCTTTCTCAAAAGCTGGGCTGCTCAGAGACCACGAGGGCCGATATCAGAAATCGAAGAGGCACCTACTTTTCTAGCCTTGTCAGCACCTGTCACACGCACACTCAGCTTTGCAGAAATTATGGGCATTCTGTCGAAGACTTCTGGTGAAGTAGAAAGCACATGAATCTTACTGTTCAATCACCCACTTCCCACACGCAACAATAGCTCATGGGTACCACAGATAACTTTGCCAAAGTTCTCTGCCAAAGTTGAGCACGTGAAGCTTGCAGCTCCCACTACATCGCTCTGACCAAGAAAGGTAAAAGAATAGCAAAGAAACAACACTAACAAAGTTTAGACACATAAATTTTGAAGGTCTAGCTACCATATTATTACCCACAAGGGTAAAGGAACAGTACCACTGCTGGATAATTGGAAACTCCCTGTGTGTCAACCTCTGTGCTTTGTGGCAAGGTAGACTAGCAAACATGCCCAACCTTTACTCACATTCGAGAAAACACTCCCAACAAGATTGCTTGCTCCAAAATCGAAGAGGCACCGTCCTCCGAATCTCGAGAGCCAGACTCCCAACATGACTACTTTCTCAAAATCGAAGAGAGGGTAAAGGAACAGTACCATTGCTGGATAATTGGAAAGTCCCTGTGTATCAACCTTTGTGCTTCGTGGCAAGGTAGACTAGCAAACATGCCCAACCTTTACTCACATTCGAGACAACACTCCCAACAAGATTACTTGCTCCAAAATCGAAGAGGCACCGCCCTCCGAATCTCGAGAGCCAGACTCCCAACATGATTACTTCCTCAAAAATCGAAGAGACACTGCTCTCCGAATCTCGAGAGCCAGACCCCCAGCATGATTGCTTTCTCAAAAATCGAAGAGGCATCGTTCTCCGAATCTCGAGAGCCAGATACCACAGACCACTTTTTCAAAGTGCTCTGACAGAGTTAAAACATGTGAAACTGACAGCTCCCACTACCGTGCTATGACCAAGCAGGGTAAAGGAATAGCATTACTACTTGTTAGGGAGACTCCTATATATATGTCAACCTCCATCCCCAACGGACAGGCAGACCTGCAAAAATGCTCAACCCTTCATCATATCTGAGAGGGCACTCCCAACGAAGCCTTTCGAAATATTCAGCTTTCTTTCCCCCCGATAATACCTCTGCAAACAAGCTATACTAGAGCAAGAATATCTCATATCATCAGGGTTAAAAGCAAGAGTATCCCATATCATGCTTTTTCCCTGTCTTTTCCTTTGGCCTTGTTTTTACCTGCAAGACAAGGAGAAAGAGAGCAATCAGTCAGCACTTGGAATCAAGCTTCCAGCCAAGAACTGACTGCCTGGAACCCCTTACCTGATTACTTACCTGGCATTGCTCTCGAGTACTCATCTTCAACATCTTATGTTTCCAGGGAAGATTCTGCATCTGCTTGAGGAACAGATAGGGCAAGTGCGAAGGATACAAGGAAGCATGTGGAGACAAGCGTAACAGCACACGTGCCGATACATCCATTACTCTGTCAAAAGCAAAAGTATCCCATATCAGCAGGGTGGAACGTACTCTAGATTTGATGGACTTGTTTTGACCCTCAAATTCTTCAGTCGGCCTTATACTCTGGAGGAAACCAGAAAACCCTCCAGCTCAGTTCAAGAATAAGCCTGTGGAAAGTTACTTCTTCAAAAGCAAAAGTATCTCATATCATCTCTTCTCATTTTTCTTCTCTTTATCCTTCATGCTGCTGCAAGATGGGGAGAAGGTGAACAATCAGTCGGAGCTCTGATTGCTTACCTTGTCTGTCACCTCTTTCAGCAGACCCCCTAGCTCGGCGACTTGGGGGACTCCTACTACATGGTTTGTATCGCGCTTGACCAAGCCTGAAACTACAAGTAAGCTTCAAGTGAAATTGATACATTACCTTGTGCATCTCCACCAGTTAAAGATACCACCCCTGGATGGAGGAAGAGTACTTCCAGAGAAGATGCCACATCTACCTATGAGACAGATAAGGCAAGTCAAGACGACTCCACACTCCGATACTTAGAAGTTTCGTGATTACGAGATCATTCTCCCACAATATTTCTTAATGTCATTTGTACTAAATCATTCACTTGTACTCACTAAAGGAGAGCTTGAACCTATGTACTTGTGTAAACCCTTCACAATTAATAAGAACTCTTCTATTCCGTGGACGTAGCCAATATGGGTGAACCACGTACATCTTGTGTTTGCTTTCCTATCTCTATCCATTTATATACTTATCCACACTAATGACCGGAGCAATCTAGCGAAGATCACAAAAAGCGACCGTTTTCGCTACCTAGGATCTATCTTGCAAGAGAACGGAGAATTAGATGGAGATCTCAACCATAGAATACGAGCTGGATGGATGAAGTGTTAGAATGCATCCGGCGTGTTGTGTGACCGTCGTAGGCCACTGAAGCTCAAGGGAAAATTTTATAGGACGGCAATAAGGCCAGCGATGTTGTATGGCACAGAATGTTGGGCGGTGAAGCATCAACACGTACACAAAATGGGTGTAGCGGAGATGAGGATGCTTCGTGGGATGTGTGGGCACACGAGAAAGGATAAGATTTGGGAATGAGGATATCCGAGGTAAAGTAGGAGTAGCCGAAATTGTAGGAAAGATGAGAGAAAATCGGCTCCGGTGATTTGGACATGTGCAAAGAAGGCCGAATGACGCTCCGGTTCGAAGATGTGACTACGGGACAGAGGTTCAGGGCCGAAGGGGTAGAGGAAGACCTAGGAAAACTTTGGAAGAGACTCTAAGAAAAGACTTAGAGTACTTGGATCTAACGGAGGACATGACACAAAACCGAGCGCAATGGCGTTCTAGGATTCATATAGCCGACCCCACTTAGTGGGAAAAGGCTTTGTTGTTGTTGTTGTTGTTGCTATGTGGATCTACACGGATTTAAATTTATATTCTAAAGTTAATTTTTATGCAACTGGGGGTGGTGATCAACCTCCCTGACCCAAACACAAAAAGGAGATCAGGAAAAAAAGAGGATAAATTGGAGTCAATAAAGAACTTTACATGCATGCAATTTAGATGTTATTGCATAGGTTGTAAGGGTGTAACCAATCAGATATTCAACCTAGTGTACTCCATCTTTTGATGTTGTATCATCATTTTTCCCCTTTAATGTTGCAGACAGTTCGCATATGGCAAGGCTCTGATGATGGGAACTATAACTGTAGGCACATTGTGAAGGACCATACTGCTGAGGTAAATGGTTTGGACTTGAGTTCTCCAAAATTTGTTCAAAGTTAAAGCCCTTTTAGGCGGACAAAATATGTAATGAGCAGCAAATCCAAAAAAGGACCGCAGTGAATCTTCCTCTTTGTGTACATTTTTGCTCACAAAATACACATACTGCCACGGTTTAACTAATTTGATCCTTCCTCTTCGTGAAACGGGTGCCTCTTCTTCCAGATTGTCCACAGGAGAGGTCAATTCCTTGAAGGAGGAAGTGACAACCCTAAGAGGTCAGGTTGCGGCCCAGGGCGACCATATTAGGGCCCAGGACGAGAGGATGAATATGATTGTTCAGGCCTTAGCGATGTCCGGCCTCCAAATCCCGACGATGCCAGCACCTAATGTTGCTCCACCTTCGACTTCCCAGCCATTTTGCCCCGACGATACCGAGTAGCATGATGTATTAAACTTAGAAGACTTGTAGTTTTTTATTTTTTTGTTCGGACAAACATACATTTTCATATATTCTATAATTATTTACTTTTTCTTGGTTTATTAATTATTTTTTAGAATGTAATTATAATATTTATTAAAAATTAAAAAAATAAATATAAATGACAAAAAAAAAATTAAATAAATAAAACTTTGCGCGACGTAGGTAGGCATTACGTCGCGCAAAGTAGCTTTGCACGACGTAGATCCCTGCGTTGCGCAAAGTATCTTTGCGCGACGTAGATCCCTGCGTCGCGCAAAGTTACTTTGCGCGACGTAGATCCTGCGTCGCGCAAAGATACTTTGCGCGACGTAATGCCTACCTACGTCGCGTAAACCCTTCCTTCACTGCCTTCGCGCGACGGTTCTTGCACGACGAAGGTTCGTTTGGCTAATTTTTGGGCGACGTATTTTTGACTTTGCGCGACGACGGTCCTACGTCGCGCAAAGTATTTTTTGTACTAGTGTCAGAAGAAAGCATGCATGGGATCACTAGGCTTTCATAAATGATGTATGCAGAGGTAAAAATAAATAAGACTCAGATCAACAAAAATGCAGCCTGTAAAAAATTAATGACTTTATTTACTGAGGTTCAAGATTTGTTAGATTTGGATTACAGCTGCTAATTATTGCATAAGTACTCCGAAATTGAATGAGAATTAAATATACCTACCAAGAAGATTTAACTATATATTAGCATTTCGATTGAAAGTTGTTGATTTTCTGATTTAAATTGTAATATATTTCATATGTTTCAATGTACAGTAGACCAAGTATATATGAGAGAAAAGAGGAGAGAGAGATGGCCACAACTAACCAATTGGGAAACCCTAGTGACTAGATAAACCTAGGCTTAATCCAATCCTTAAAGCAAGGAGATTACGCCAAACACTAGGTTATGAAGCTAATCATATCAACTCCCTTAAGATAGTTGTTTTACACTTTGAGATAATGATGACCTTATATCTAGGATTTGGTGACCCTAGGAACCGAGAGACCAAAGGTGTGTACACTACAACATTCCCCCTCAAGCTAGATCAAGGATATTAATCGATCCAAGCTTGCCCAAAAAATGATGAAGTTGAACCGATGACAGTGCCTTGGTAAAAAGATATGCTAGTTGATCATGGCTTCATGTGAATATTGTATGGATGACTTGAGTTTGAACTTGAGCCTTGATGAAATGGCAATCCACTTCAATATGTTTGGTTCTTTCGTGAAACACAGGGTTAGCAGCGATGTGTATATGAGATAAGAGTAGAACTAGGAAACCCTAAGTCTGAAATGAGACTTTTAAGCCAGATTAATTCACAAGCTATGGCAGCCATTGCTCGATATTCAGCCTCTGCGTTGGAGCGAGCGATAACTTGTTGCTTTTTACTTTTCCATGTGACCAGATTTCCACCAACAAATGTGCAATAGCCTGTAGTAGATTTTCTATCAATTGCATTCCTTGCCCAATCTGCATCCGTGTATCCACTAATGGTAGTGGAATAATTATTGTGCATGATAATTCCTCTCCCTATGGAACCTTTGAGATATTGTAGGATTCTCTTAACAATGTTGAGATGATGTATAATGGAAGATGACTAGCCAAGCTCACTGCATATGTGATATCTGGATGAGTGATAGTGAGGTAAATAAGCTTGCCCACCAATCTTTGATAGTAGCTCACATCATGCATAGCTTCTCCATCAATGTCGAGCTTTAGTTTACAATCAACATGTGTGATAACAGGTTTAAAGTCTAGCATTTTAGCTTCCTTGAGAAGGTCCATCACATATTTGCGTTGATGTAGAAACAGCCCCTTTAAAGATGTTGCCATTTTGATTCCCAAGAAGTACTTCAACCTCCCCAAATCTTTGATAGCAAAAATTTGGTGTAGTGATAGCTTTAGAGCTTCAATCTTAGTGGCACAATCTCCCATGATGATGAGATCATCAATGTAAATAAGGACCACCAACTTCCCACTGGTACTAGTTCTTACAAATAATGAGGAATTGGCATTACTTCACAAAAAACTAGCCTTTTCCAGCACTGAACTTAGCTTGGCATTCCAAGCTCGTGGAGATTGTTTCAATCCATATATTGCATTGTGCAATTTACATACCACATTACCTTTACTGCGATCATAGCCTAGAGAAGGCTACATATACACTTCTTCCTATAATTCTATGTGAAGGAATGCATTCTTCACGTTTATTTGATAAAGAGATTATCCACAATTGATTGCCACAGAGAGTAAAACCCTCACAATGTTCATCTTGGCAACAGGGGCAAATGTTTCATTATAATCTACTCCAAAGGTTTGAGTAAAACCTTGAGCAACAAGCCGAGCCTTGTGCCTCTCGATGGAACCATCAGCTTTGAACTTGGTTTTGTAAATTCAACGACTTCCAATAGCCTTTTTTCCTAGAAGAAGTTGAACTAGGCTCCAAGTGTGATTTTCTTCCATTTCTCTAAGCTATTCTGCCATGGCTTGATTCCACAGTGGGAGTAGAGTGGCCTCTTGAAAGGTTCTTGGCTCATAATGCTTATCAATTTCACCAAGGAAAGCAGCACAAGTTGTGGAGAGTCCATGAAGACTGATTCTTTAAGTGATGGGGTACCGTGAAGCGTAAGTCACATAGTCTTGCAACCTCGCTAGAGGTTTCCTTGTTTGAGAAGGATTTTTGCTAATCATTTGAGACTCGTTTGAAGGTTGAGAATGATATGAATGTGTATGTCTCTTTCACCGCCAATTTGGTCTCTGGAAGTGTTCGTGTCATCTTGAGCTTCTCCATTATCTTAAATTGCCATTATTGAGCTCTCTTCCAACACTGGATTATTAAAATTTTGAGGAAGTGGAAATATGTCAAATACTTTCTCCCCTTGACTTGTAGTGGCTCCATTGTGGGTGAAATAAGGACAGTCTTATTCAAACTTCACATTTTTTGACACTAGGCACTTCTTAGTGACCGAATTGAAGCACCTATATCCCTTTTGGGTGGAAAAGTACCTTAAAAATACACACTTGGTTGCCCTAGCATATAGTTTGTCATGATTCAGGGCTTGGATGTGAACAAAGAAAACACAACCAAACACCTTGAGGTGTGTCAAATTGATTTTCCTTGCCTTAAGTACTTCATAGGGTGATTTAAACCCGATCACCTGACTTGGAAGTCAGTTGATGATATAAGTAGCAGTGACGATGGCAAATGACCAAAACCTTTTAGGGACATTCATATGTATCATGAGAGAACGAGTCTTTTCCAAGAGATCTCTATTTTTTCTTTCGGCTGCCCCATTTTGTTGTGGGGTTCCTACACAACTTGTTTGATGAATAATGTCATGTGCCCTTATGTATTGAATTATGTTGTTGGATAGAAATTTAGTGCCGTTGTCTGACCTTAAAACCTTAATATTTGATTGAAATTGTGTTTTAACATGCAAATGAAAATCCTTGAAAATAGTAGACACTTCACTTTTTGATTTCATCATATATAAGAAACTAACTCGAGAGAAATCATCAACAAATAAAACAAAGTATTTAAACCCTTCCATTGATTCAGTTGTTGGTCCCCATACATCGGTGTGTATTATTTCAAAAGGTTTACTTGTCCTAGATATTGAATTACCAAAAGGTAGCCTAGTAAATTTTGAAAATTGACAAGTATCACAAGTAATATGTGACTTACAAAAATTTGGGAACAATTTTGACAAAATGGTCTCAAAAGGATGAGCTAATCTCCTATGCCAAACTTGGTTTTCCTTTATGGACTTTGATTTAGCTTGAAGAGCCTGATTAAAATAGGAATTCTTGCATAGGTAGTAAAGTCCATTTATGAAGAACCCTTCACCAATCATCTTCATGGTGAGAACATCCTGAAACATCACATTATTTGGTGAGAAAATAGCACGACAGTTTAGGGTGTTTGTGATTTTTCCAATTGACAAAAGTTGAAAAGGAAAATATGGTACATATAAGGTAGTGGAAGGTGCTTTGTGTGAAAGCAGGTTGATCTCTCCTTTGCCTAAAACTAGGACATTCTTTCCATTTGCAACTGACACATGAGAAGGACTTGGAAAATATTTAAAATTATGCAAATTTGTGACTTTGTTTGTCATGTGATCAATGGCACTTGAATCAATTATTCAACAATCATTTTCAACACTAGCTAATAGGGCAGTAGAGAATGCTTCGAGAATACCTGGTGCCTCATCATGTGGTACTTTCTCATTTCCAGCAAGAAAACTGGCAAACTGTCCCAACATAGCTGTGTGGTTGCTCCCTTGATTACTTTGACCATATGAAGCTCCCCCATGTCCCTTACCTTGCAGGTAAGCTGCAAACTCATTGATAAGGGTCAATGGATTTGTCGTGAACTCTACGGATCCTTGTGGCATGGTAGGAGAAGGATAAGCAGTAGCAAAATTGTGCCTAGAAGTGAGATTGTTGTGACGACCTTGGTATCATTTTCCCATCTTTTGTAAACTTAGGCTTGAGTTCAAGATAGAGTTCCCAACACTTCTCTTCCACATACCCAACAACATCGCAATATTTGCACTTTAGGTGTGTGTTTATGCCATTGTATACCTTGACCTCTGAGTGCTTATAATTTGAGGCATATGCTTGAGTCTCCGTCAATCTTGGACCGTATTCAGCATTCATCACTTTCTTCCTTACTTCTTCTCGTTGAATAGCAGCACAAACATTGTTGAAAATGGGGCAACTCTTGACTCATCAGGATGTGACTCCTTAGACCTTTATACTCAGAGCTCAAACTCTCTAACAGCTAGTAAATTCTGTCTTCCTCAGCTTGTTTTAGAAGAATGATAGGATCTGTGGTATGTGGAAGGTATACATCCAACTCATTCCACATGGTTTTGAGACTCCCAAGATGTTGAAAAAAAGCTTTCCCCTCTTGCTGAATACTAGCATTGTCTTTCTTCAGTTGGAACACTCGAGCATAGTTATTTTGATTTCCATACATATCCTTCAATGCCTTCTTCAGGTCTTGTGAGGAATTGGAGTAACTGAAAATCTCGGCAACATGTTTCTCTATGATGTGAGCAGCAGAGAC